AAAAAGGTTAGATACCACCCAAAGAGACATCCGGGATATGGCCATATTGTCTGGCAGGTTAGGGTTATAGAGGATATTTGTCAGAGGGGAGCATTCAGAGGCCAGAGTAAATTGAGCCTTACATTACTGCCATACCGTCAATGAAAATTGCATGGGACCAAGGAATAGATGACGGAAGGAAGAGACATCCACTGCCGCGGTTGACCAAAGGAGGGAACATGGATGAACTGGGGACAGTTGTAAAGATTCAATCTCAGTCCATGTATTGGGAGGGTGTTGCGTGGACCATGACAAAAGAAAACAAAGGTGAGTCGCATAATAATACTTGATTATATCCGGCGCTCCCAAACCTCCCCTAGAACGCGGAGAGAGCAGAACAGAACGTGCAATCCTGTGTCGCATATTGTGCCAGATAAAGTGTAGGAAAGATTTCTGAAGGGAGTGAAGCTTGGACATAGGGACGGGAACGGGGAGAGTCGCAAACAGATATAAGAGTTTGGGTAACACGGTCATTTTTAGAACATTAATGCGACCGAGGAAAGAGATGGGCAAGGCATCCCATTGTTTCAGAGAGCGAGAAATTGCTATGAACAAAGGGGGGAAATTGGCCTCGTATATGGATTGGTAAGAAAGAGAAATATTAGTACCTAAATATTTTAAAGAGTGTGTGCACCACCGATAGGGAAAGGCTTCCTGAAGCGAGGACAGAACGATAGGCGGGACATGTATTGGGAGTGCCTCAGTTTTGGACGTATTGACTTTGTAACCTGAAATAGCCCCAAATTGTTTCAAGGTCTTATGCAAAATCGGTAAAGAAGTATGGGGACTCGTAAGCGTGAGAAGAATGTCATCTGCAAATAACGATAATTTGTACTCATGGGAATGTGACTGTATCCCACTAATATCCGGGTTTGACCTAATAGCGATGGCCAAAGGTTCCAGACAAAGAATAAACAGTAAAGGAGAGAGTGGGCAGCCCTGACGTGTACCGTTTGACATCTGAAAGGGAGGCGAGAGAAAAGAAGCTAATCTGACCTGCGAGAGGGGGATGAATAGAGGGCCTTCAGCGCTGCTACAAATGGACCTTTGAAACCAAATCTCTCCAAGACCATGAACATATAAGGCCAGCTTAAATGGTCGAAAGCTTTTTGAGCGTCCAAGCTTAATAACACAGTAGGGGTAGAGGACCTGTTAACCAGATCAACCAGATCAATAACTCTCCTAGTGTTATCTGCGGCATGTCTGGCAGGTACAAAGCCCACTTGGTCCCTATGTATGATCTTGGAGATGATTCCGGACAATCGTTAGCCAAAATTTTGGTAAAAATCTTGTAGTCAGAATTGAGTAGGGCAATGGGGCGGTAGTTGTCCACGATAGACTGGTCCTTATCGGGTTTAGGGATGACCGAGATATATGCACGGGAGAATTCGGTCTGGGGTATAATTCCCTTAAAAAGATCGTGATATAGAGAGAGGAGATGCGGTGCCAAAATACCAATAAAAGTTTTATAGTAGGAGTAGGGCAATCCGTCCGGTCCCGGAGCTTTACGAGAAGGGAGAAGTTTGATTGTGTCCAATAATTCCTCTAGTGTAATGTCAGCATTAAGGGTGGCAATGTCTGAAGGTGAGATTCTCGGGAGTGACAATGCGTCAAAAAAATTATCAAATAATGACTGTGTGAGGGGTGGATGCAGGTCCGGGGTTAAACAGTTGTACAATTTCCCGTAAAATGAGCCAAAAAGAGTTGCTATAACCCGAGGGTCGTAAGTGGGGCTTCCATCTGGCTGTATTAGTAGGTCAGGCATCGTAGAAGGGGACTGAGCTTTGAGACGATTGACTAACATACGATGGGGCTTATTGGAAAATTCGTAGAATTTCTGCTTAACCCAAAGGAGGATTGAGCAGTTTTACTGGAGTCAAGAGCTTTAACTTGATCCCGTAGAGAAGTTACCCTCTGGAGCCCAGGAATAGACGGCTTAGCCAATAACCGTCCTTCCGCCCAAGATAGCTGTTGTATGAGGGAAGCCCTAGCACTCGCCGAGGACTTTTTTAAACGAGAACCCATAGAAATACAGAGCCCTCGAAAAACCGCCTTATGGGCCTCCCATAGAGTTGAGGAGGAGGTTACGGAGCCAACATTGTGGGTGAAGTAGGCATCAAGTCCCTGCGACAATTCATCTCTAAGATGGTCTGTGGAAAGAAAAGGTCTCATTAAGGCGCCAATGACAGGGTTTGGATATAACAGGGGGGAAAAAAAGGTTTAAAGTCAAAGAGGCATGGTCGGACCAAGTGATGGGATTAATATCAGAAGAAACCAGAAGTGGAAGCAATGGGGCAGAAACGAAAAAATGGTCTAGGCGAGAATAACTACGGTGAGGAGTAGAGTAAAAAGTGAATTGTTTATGGAGAGGATGTTTAATCCGCCATGCGTCAAAGAGACGATGCTCCCTAATCAATCTACGAAAATATTTTGAAGAGGAGCATTGCCGCTTCGAGGGAGTGGACTCAAAAAGAACCTTCCTGTCTTTATGGGGGGAAAGAATCAGATTGAAATCTCCCCCAACTATCACCTGCGAAGTGGAAATGGAATCCAGTTCGGCGAGTGTTTGGGATAGGAACTGCAATTGACCCGTGTTAAGGGCATATAAATTCAGCAAAACTAGGGGAGTCTCACCAAACATACACTCCAAAATAATGAAACGACCCTGTCGGTCAACTTTGGAGGAAACAACCCGAAGGGAGCAATGTGACCCAATCAAAATTGCCACCCCGGCTTTCCCAGAAGGGTCAAAGGCCGAGTAGGCTCGGGGAAAAAATCTCGAGGCAAAACGAAAGGAGCCTGTAGATTTGAAATGGGTCTCTTGGACAAAAATGATGTCTGCTCCTGAGGATCGAAATTCCTTCAAAGCCATCCACCTTTTTTGAATAGAGTTGAGGCCCTTAACATTATATGACAGAAACTTCAAAGCCATTATAAAATAACAGTGACTGGGCCACATGTATTAGCATGACAAATGGATGAAGTACCATCGATGTAGTAAAAAGAAAAAAAAAAAACAGAAAACATAAAACATGCAAAAAACACAACAGAAAAAAATACACAATGAAGAACAGGTATCCGCGAGGATATAAACTTGGGAACGTCAACTAAGCCCAAGTCGTCTAGGCCAGTGGCTAGACAGTATCGGGGGCAGCACAACATCCGACACTTCCGGGAGGACGTCAAACCCGGCCAGAAGAAACAAAAACAAAATAAAATAAAATAAAATGCACCCAGCAAGGCCATGGCCGAACAAAACAGCACCAGATTCGCCACAAAAGGTCACCCCTGAAAATCCTCAGGCAGGAGGATCGCTTGATCGGGGAGGGCGTGGACGTTGCGGTATGCGTGTGGGTCTCCTCCGACCTCCGCGGACCGGTGTCCATATCTTGGAAGGGGTGGCATAAGGACGGGATGGAGTAGGCGGCGATGAGGGCATATCATCCAGTAGAGGTGGGAGTCCCAACTGCTTAAGGAAAGATTCCACCTCTTGAAGATCTCGGAGAACAACATGGGTGTTGTCCCTAACAACCACCAGCTTGAAGGGGAACCCCCAACGATACAGGACACGATGATGCTGAAGATGTGTGGTGATTGGCTTCAAAGCACGCCGCTCAGCAAGAGTAATCGGAGAAAGATCACAGAAGAGTTGGAGTTTATCACCTTTAAACTCCAAGGAAGATTTATGGCGGGCTGCTGAAAGTAAGGCTTCTTTACTTTGGAAGTAGTGAAAGCGGACTATAACGTCACGTGGACTGGTTCCCTCAATTGGTTTAGGGCCCAGAGAGCGATGAGCCCTATCCATCCGCCAATCTGCTTCTTGAACCATGGGGGCAGTAGCGATGAAAAAGGACAGTAGATGGCGGTGCAATTGGGCATCAGCAACGGATTCGGACATACCACGTATACGGATATTTTGGCGCCGTTCCCTGTTTTCCAGGTCCTCCTGCTGGAGTTGCATTTGGGAAATGGAATGTTTCAGATAGGCGTTGTCTTCCTCCAAAACGTGAACGTATTGCACCAAATCGTCAAACTTACTTTCCAATTTATCCGTGCGGTCCCCAATCTGGGCTATTTCCCCTCTGAGCTCATTAGCCAATTTTCCCACTTCAGCGGCTATGGAAGCGGTAATATTTCGTAGAAAAATTTGCAGCTTGTCGTCTAACGCGGAGATTGTGAGCGAAGGGGACGACTTTGTCGGCTGAGGACTAGGGGCAGGAAGATACCCTGGAGTAGGGTTGTCCATAGCCTCTCCTGCTTTCGATTGGGGGTCGTGATCCCCCATTTGTGGAAGGATCGGAGCAGAGGTTTGCAGCTGTGCTGAAATTAGGCAGGGTGCAGTACCCTCCGCGGCCGCTAGAGGTCCGGGATCGTTCCTCGGACCTCTGTCTATACTAGAGGCCGGGGATTGCGGCCTATAGAGGAAGCGCCGCAGTGGCGAGGGCCGCGGGTCCTGAGGCTGCGGGGAGGGGGGCTTCCAGCGCCCTATCTTCCCCATAGAAGCCTCTCCCTGGTGCTGGGCCGGGTGCTCGGTGATACGTGACTCACCCGAGGCAGAAGATCAGCAGCAGTGTGAAGCGGGTGAGTCACTCCTGGCCGGGGATGAGCGGAGCTCAGCAGAACATGTCTGCCATCATCCCTGGCCACACATGCGCCCCCCTCCACTCTAATTCATCCCAAAGGTGTTCTATCAGGTTGAGGTCAGGACTCTGTGCAGGACAGTCAGGTTCCTCCGCCTCAAACTCACCCATGTCTTTATGGACCTTGCATTGTAGACTGGTGCGCAGTCATGTTGGAACAGGAAGGGGCCATCCCCAAACTCTTCCCACAAAGTTGGGAGCATGAAATTGTCCAATATGTCTTGGTATGCCAACGCCTTAAGAGTTCCCTTCACTGGAACTAAGGGGCCAAGCTCAACCCCTGAAAAGCAACACCACACCATAATCCCCCTCCACCAAACTTTACACTTGGCACAATGCAGTCAGGCAAGTACTGTTCACTTGGCAAATGCCAAACCCAGACATGTGTATCAGATTGCCAGACAGAGAAATGTGATTCATCTCTCCAGCAAACACGTCTCCACTGCTCTAGAGTCCAGTGGCGGCGTGCTTTACACCACTGCATCCGACACTTTGCATTGCACTTGATGATGTAAGGCTTGGATGCAGCTGCTCAGCCATGGGGGGTTTCCATGAAGCTCTCTACTCACTGTTGTTGTGCTAATCTGAAGGCCACACAAAGGTTGGAGGTCTTTAGCTATTGACTCGTAGAATATTAGTAGCAAGGAAATTTCACGGATGGACTTATTGCACAGGAGGCAACACGTCACGGTATCACGCCTGAATTCACTGAGCTCCTGATAGCGACCCATTCTTTCACAAATGTTTGTAGAACCAGTCTGCATGCCTAGGGGCTTGACTGTATACACCTGTGGCCATGGAGGTGATTGGAACACCTGAATCCAATTATTTGGAGGGGTGTCAATATAGTGTATGTCAATGTAGTCAACAGTATTAAACAGATTGTTGTTCTGTAATTCATATTAATTCTGTTGAAGGGGGAGTATATCTTTGGAGGGAGTATGTCTGTGATGAGTACCTTTCTGGGGAACACTGCAGTCCCTGGCTCTGGGTTGGTTAGGTAGCCAATTTCTGGACACAAAACAAAGAATACTTTAAGCCTGGGTCATACCAATGCGTTTTTTAGTGCTGTTTGCAGAAATGCACTACAGTCCATTTAGCATGGTTTCCTATAGGACACGTTCACATCTACTGTGCGTTTTTCAGCTGCTGTGTTTTTGGAAAGGGACAGGGACTTTCTTTAGGCTTGATTCACACCTATGCAGTTTGCGTTTGACCTGTTTTTGCAGTGCTTTTTTGTGGTGAGTTTTGCGGTTTTGCACACACATTTTGTATGCATTTTTCACACGTTTTTGATGCTTTTTGCATTTTTTATGCTGTTTATGGCCAATTTGTTGTTGAGCAAATAAAAAATGCAAAATGCATCAGAAACACTACATGCATTTTTTGCAGTGTCTCCATTAAAGTCTATTAAACCAAAAATGCACCATTTTGTGTTTACAAAAATTCCCTGACCAAAAACGCAGCTGAAAAACACATACATGTAAACACGTCCCATAGAAAACCATGTTAAATGGAATATAGTGCATTTCTCCAAAAAAACAAAAAGCACTAAAAATGCATTGGTGTGAACCAAGCCTTAAACGTGAAATGGGGTGTTTTTGATTCAATAGACTTCAATGGAGATGCTGCAAAAAATGCACATAGTGCGTTTTTCAAGTGTTTTGCATTTTTTAATCTACCCAACAACAAATAGGCCAAAAAAAGCATTAAAAATGACATGTGAAAAACACATAAAAAAAACATACGTGCAAAAATGCAGAATGCACCACAAAAAACACTGCAGAAATGGATCAAATGTAAACTGCTAAGTTTGAACGAGGCCTTATTGCTAGGTAACACTTGGCAAGGCAGGAGCAAGGGGTCAGTGCTGCCTGTACGTAAGGCTCAGTTCACACTAGTGCGACTTGTAATGGGACTTCAGACAGATAAAGTCACATGACAAGTCACATATGCAAATTAAGTCGCAGTGACTTTAAAAACAGTTCCTGCACTACTTTGGTATGACTTTCTTGCAACTTTAGTGCCATCGAGTGTAAAAGTCATATGAAAGTTGCATGAAAGTCACACTCCAAAGTCGCGTGACTTTGGAGTTGAACTAGTTTGAACAGAGCCCTAAAGGGGGTCTATAATGGCTGGGGATTAGAGTTGGTCCCAGAATTTGTATGAAAATAGATTTCAAACGACTTTCATTGGTTCATATGTCTCAAGCCCAATCCAGATTTCAGGTTTAGGCCTTCTGGATGCTCCGACATCCTCTAACTGCAAATAACCCAATGGTGTGCAGCTACATGTGCAACTATTTGCGTGTACCTGTCATTCCATCCACAATCTGCTGATTCTTGCTGCTGGAATCTGGCATTTTCAGCTAAACAGCTAAACAGAAGCTGAGGTTTTGATAGCTCAGATGCCAAACTAAATTTGTGGCCAAAGGTTTTTCCTACCTCTTACTGTATCTTCTACTTCTGTTGCCTGGGCACCCATAGCTTGACTGCCAGCAACGCCAGGTACCACCCTTCTATCTTAGTATTCCTGGTTGAATTTTTAAAGGAACTGGCCCCACCATCTCACCAGTCAGGAATGCCAGGAGATTCCAAAACCATTCTGAACAATTCTGTATAATTTGCTAATCTAAGCCTAATTCACTAAAGGCAAATAGACTGTTCACTTTGCAAGGAAAGTTTCCCCAGATCTTAATGAATGAGGTGAATCTTTGCTGACTTCCATAATCCAATCATGTGTGAGCAACCATGCTGCTTTTTGATTTTTCTTGCAAAGTGAAAATGAAACGCATTCTCTAAGTTCTGGGGAGATTCCCTTGCACTGTGCAACTTACCTTGCAAAGTGAACAGTCTATTTGCCTTTACTCAGGACTTTTTTCTTAGAGAATAGGTGCAGGTAGCCCCCCCCCCAATTCCCAGTCTCTGCCCCCACCTCCAAGCATCATCCCCCTACGCACCTCCCAGTACTGCCATTTTTAGAGAAAACAAAACCAAGTATAATTTTGTGGAGTAATTTGTATGGAATTTGTTAATGATCACAAGAAACGCAGTGAATAAAAACAATACAACCCTCACCAACAGTAGATTCCTCCCCAGGAACAATAGACCCACCAGAAACAAAATACCGCTCTAGCAACAATAGATCTCCCAGTAGCCATCATTAACAGACCTGCAAGTAAAGACCTACCAGCATCCAACAACAATAGACCCCTCCTTCAATAGTAGATGCCTCCAAGCAACAATAGACCCTTCCTTCAACAATAGACCCTTCCTTCAACAAAAGATTTCCCACTACCCAGAGACAAAAGATCCCAAGCAGCTAACATCAATGGACCCCCAAGCACACCCCAGCATCCCTTGCCATTAAATACATTCAGTGCTGTAGGTTCAGTAACTGTGTTCCCCTTTACTAAATCAACCCCATTGATCTTTTGGTTTAGAAATGCCAAATTTCAGAAGTGTTGAATATTTAAAAAGTTCAGCTGAACCACGAATGTCCAGCTTTTTAGTAGTTCCTAAATGTATACTTGGGTCATTTGAATTTACTTTGTAAAATTCATGTTCTTATAGCAGAATTTCCCTGCATCTGAGCACCACAAACCAAAACACAATTTAATTAATTTTTCAAATTCAAAGCAACCCTTTAGCATTTCTGGCTGTGTTCATCTTGAGTAAGGGCAGATGATTCATGTAGCATTTACTTCCTGAATCCAACTGCCCTTAGCTCAAGCAGGCATGCAGGGGGTGTGCTCAGCTGAGAAAACCCCTCCTCCTCTCCTCTCCTTCTGAAGGCTTCTGGGATACATGACATAATTTGCCAAGGCAAGAAACCAGGAAGTAACTGAAGAAATGTTTTTTTTTTTTAAAACAAGTAGATATAATATACTTTCCTATCTATTTACTTAACAGCATAAGGATTACAAATAGGTTGGTTGAGAGAGTGAAGTTCCACTTTAAGCTGGTGTTTAAAGGGTGCTCCAATGGCAGCACAACTAATGCAGTTTTCTTTCATATATTTCTCTGTAATTGAAAATACACCACATTGCCAAAAGTATTGGGACACCCCTCCAAATCACTGGATTCAGGTGTTCCAATCACCTCTATGGAGACAGGTGTATAAAATCAAGCACCTAGGCATGCAGACTGCTTCTACAAACATTTGTGAAAGAATGGGTCGCTTTCAGGAGCTCAGTGACTCCAAGCGTGGTACCACGATAGGTTGCCACCTGTGCAATAAGTTCATCCGTGAAATTTCCTTCCTACTAAATATTCCACAGTCAACTTTTAGTGGTATTATAACAAAATGGAAGCAACTGGGAACAACAGCAACTCAGCCACAAAGTGGTAAGCCACGTAAAATGACAGAGCGGGGTCAGCGCATGCTGAAGCGCACAGTGCGCAGAAGTTGCCAACTGTCTGCAGAGTCAATAGCTAAAGACCTCCAAACTTCGTGTGGCCTTCAGATTAGCACAACAACAGTGTGTAGAGAGCTTCAGTGCAATGCAAAGCATTGGATGCAGTGGTGTAAAGCACGCCGCCACTGGACTCTAGAGCATAGGAGACGTGTTCTCTGGAATGATGAATCACACTTCTCTGTCTGGCAATCCAATGGATGTGTCTGGGTTTGGCGGTTGCCAGGAGAACGGTACTTGCCTGACTGCATTTGTTCCAAGTATAAAGTTTACTGGAGGGGGGATTATGGTGTGGGGTTGTTCTTCAGGGATTGGGCTCGGCCCCTTAGTTCCAGTAAAGGAAACTCTTAAGGCGTCAGCATACCAAGACATCCCAACTGCAGTCCTGACCTCAACCCGTCAGAACACCTTTGAGATGAATTAGAGTGGAGACTGTGAGCCAGGCCTAACCTGCACAAAGAATGGTCAAACCTTCCCATAGACACCCTCCTATACCTTGTGGATGGCCTTCCCAGAAGAGTTGAAGCTGTTATAGCTGCAAAGGGCGGGGCCAACTCAATATTGAACCTTATGAACTAAGACTGGGATGCCATTAAAATTCATGTGCGTGTATAGACAGGCGTTCCAATACTTTTGGCAAGATAGTGTATGTACAAAGCAGAGAAAAGGAATCGGAACACATAAAAAGGTGTTCAATATACAGTATATACCATATAGCAACTTTATATAGTTTTATATAAAAGATATATTCTAGTCAACATTCCATGTATTGGGTGCTCACTGCAACTGCACTTTTTTATTATTCCCTTCAACAAGAACAGGAAGTGCTTAATGTTTGATAAGAATAAAGATTTCCTATAAACCACTGCAGCCTTTTCAGCTTCAAAAGCTTCTAAAAGAACACCAGTGAAGGTCTCCTCCATTCTCACTTTGATACACATATGCCAAGTTCTTTCATTGTGTTTGTCACATACATAGCTAGATCACATTTAAATAGATTCAATTTGATGTGTAGGTAGCTGTTTGAAAGAAATGTATTCATTGTAAGCATTTGTGAGAGACATATAAACAAACATATTGTAATTTCAGTTTATGTGATTGTATTGCAACTTTACAGAACTATTCTCAGAAGTAAATTCAGATTTGGAAAAAAACACTATGATACTTCTGTCAGTTTTTAAAGTTTAGGATTTTCATGGCTAGCATGAATGGGGGAAGTTTGGGGCTGTGAAGGCCATGGAAGGCACTCCATGGTGCCTCCTGTACAGCAGCTCTGCTGCTTTGTTTGAGTCACCTGATTATAAATTCTCTTTAAAGTAGCCGATTTTGCATCTTTGTTTTCTAATACTTTCTGTT